GCCATGGAGACCCTTCCTAGGGGTGGGTGAAGGGTCTGGGCTGCCGGCTCTGTGCTGGTGCGGTGCTGCCCCAGTGTCGCGCTTTTCTTCCCATCACTGCCGTCAGCGGTGCGTGGCTTTGTCTTGCAGCTTGAAGATGCTCCCCGGGCTCCTCCCGCCCTCAAGGAAGACCAAGGTGGGTGCTGGGAGCAGGGGCTGAGGGGTCCTCCCTGCTCCGGACAGCCTCCGGGGCGTGTCCCCGCACTGCGGCCACCACCTTCCCTCTCCCCCCAGACCTGGACTCCCAGGTCTCCTCCGCTGGGCTGGGCACCATCCTGAGACCCGACGAGCCCAGGTCCCACTCTTACTTCCAGAGCGTCTCTGTCACCACAGTGACTCTCCCTGACGGGGTGAGTGTCCCTGCAGGGCTGGGGGAGGCCTGGGGACACCGTCCCCGTGGTCTGGGGGTCTCTCAGGGCTTGGTGCTGTGCGCAGGCGGTGGAGGAGCGCCGCACCGTGCAGGACAGCCAGGGCCGCCGGGAGACCACGGTGACACGGCGGAGAGGGGACCAGGCCTTCATCAGCACCACCAGGGAGCACGGGCAGAGCAAGGACTACCGCGAGGAGGTGCTCAACATGGATGACCGTGAGTGGAGCTCTGGGGAGGGGGCAAACAGTGGATGGAGGCCCCACTGAGGGAGTTCTCTCTGCCCTCGCAGGGGAGCTGGCACAGTTTGCTGGCACGTGGCCACAGCAAGAAGAGATTCCTGCTGCCAACCTGGGCCCCTCATCTGCGCTGGGCAGCTTCCTCCGACGCTGGTTCTCGAGCTGGTAGCTATTTCCAGTCCTGATTGAGCAGCCCACATGTGTTTCAGGTGTGGGCTGGTGGGATCCTGGGCTTGCCAGGCCTGTCAGAGCAGGCAGTGGGCAGCAGCCTCTTCTCACCACCTGTTTTTGTTGTAGATGGGTCAGATCTTGCTGGGAAGTGGTGCCTGGGCTGGAGGCTGTCCACCTTCTGCAGCGCTGCACAGCCACAGGGAGCCCTGTGGGGATCAAGTGTGTGTGTGTACAGAGCAATAAAGTCTATTTATGCTAAACGGTGACCTTCCATGCTCCTTCAGACTGGAATCTCATGTGTTTGGAGGCAGATTCCCCCTGTCCACCAGAATGACTCTGGGGGGCTGCCCCAGAGGTGCAGGTGATTGCCAGGCTCCTGTGCCTGCACTGCTCCCTTCTTACCTCCCTCTCCCATTTCCTTGCCCCATGCTGTGCTAATGCCTCCCCTGGGCACTCTTGAGGGCCTGGCCCAGCCTGGAGGCCTTTCCAGGATCTCTTTATTAGTGTTGACTGCAGCTTTCCAGGATCTCTTTATTAGTGCTGACTGCAGCTGTGGCTTGGGCAGGGATAAAGGAGGTTCCTGGCCAGGCACTACCTGTGCCTGCTCACCTGAGCGAGGTCGTGGCTCCCCCACGGCCACTTGGGGCTCAGGGTGTTCCTACCTGGCCTTGCCCTGCTGGGGTGCAGCATTGTCACACGGTGTCCCCGGCCACACACAGGACTCTGGTCGCTGCCAGGCGTCTCCCGTGGTGCAGCCATGATTGGTTTAAAGTCTGCACATAATCACCCACCTGGCTGTGGGGCTCATAAAACCTGCTGCGAATTAGACATCTACACCACTCTTACTGCTGCCAGCGCTGCCACTGCTACCTCTGCCCAGCTGGCACCATGGGCACCACTTCTTTCTTGACAAGAGCCCAGAGGCTGCTCCGCATCAGGAACCAGCTGGTGAGAGAGTGCTTGGGTGAGGTGCTGTCCACCTTCGTGATGATGGTAAGCAGGGCACGCAGCTGGGTTGGGGCTGGGGATGTCGTGTGTGTGTGACAGCGCTGATGGTGTCATGCTGGCAGGTGCCAGGGGTCCCTGGGGTTCTGTGACAGGGCTGATGGTGTCNTTTTTTTTTTCTCTCTCTCTCTCTCTCCGCATTCAGATCTGAACCGTTTGCCGTAGGGGCCTTTTTTGGTTTTTACTCCTTTCTATCCCCTCTCCCATCCAGCTGCCCCAGAATCTCTCAAATCCAAAGGAGTGGAAGCTGCGAGTCGCCTACAGCAAACCCCCTTATTATTAGGATTAAGACCAGTAATTGATATGAGCAGCATTGTAAGATTAATTAGTTGAAGTGTTTTTTTTGTACCGTGTTCTAAATTTAATGGATAAATGTGTCTTGTATATAAAAACAAAAACCCCATGCTGTCCTCTAGTTCTCTCATTTCTCCCCCACCCCGCCGAGGGGTCCCCCCTGGTATTTTATGTTTTCCATCTGCGTCCCTTCATCCTCACGGGCCCAGAGTGCAGGTCCTGCCCTGCTTGCACGCTGTAAGTATCTTCTGCTTTTGGGTTGGGGATTTTTTTATTTTCCTTTTTTTTTCCCCTGTTTTGTTTTGTGGGGTTTTGTTTGATTTGGTTTGGTTTTTTGGGGGTATTATTTTTGGTTTTTTCTATGCAGTCCAGATCTTGTATTTTTCAGTTCCACCTGATCCCTTCAGCTGCAGCCCCAAGCGGGGATTTACTGAAGAGAATAAAGATCACAAAGTGATGTGTGTATTTTTTCCACCTTCTCAGCCTCGTTCCCTATTTTTGGTGCAGGGGGTTGGGTGGCCCTGGGCAGTGGGGGCAGCGCTTCCCCCACCCCTCTCCAGCTTCTTGCTGGTGTTTTTGTCCCCTCATTTTGTGGATTTTCCTTTTCCCAGCTGCAATGCTGGGCAGCAAGATGCCAGCACAGGGATGATGCCCTCCCTTCTCTGAGACCCTCACCCTTCATTTCTGCTTCCCAATGAGCTCTGCCTTCTTTCCCCACTGCTCTGGTGCTGCTGCTCCTCCTTTTGGGGGTTCAGGGCTGCTCTCCCCAGCCCCCCGTCCCCACCGGGCAGGCCGGGGGGGTTTTCACAGGCACTGGGCAGGGCAGTGAGACACTGGAACAGCAGTGCCCGGTCCTGCAGTGCCCGCCGAGCCTTCCCCTCGC